TAAGGTGAGCACACTCTAAAACCACTCCCACCTCCAATCACCGTGGTGCTGAATGCACGTTTGCAAAGCGCATGCACACACACACGTACACACACGTACACACACGTACACACACACACAGAGACCATTCACAAAACCCTGGGAAACCCACTTGCCCCCCTGTATGGCTCCTACAGTGGTTGTAAAAATTGCATTTAATCATTCGGCCATGCGATCGTGGATAGACCTGAATGGCTTTATGCTTCTTGTCATTGTAGAAGGGCTGTGGCTACCACTTGGACCTGTTCTGGGTGGGTGTGCTAATGGCGGTGTGCTCCTTCATGGGTCTGCCCTGGTATGTAGCAGCCACTGTCATCTCAATCGCACACATCGACTCTCTGAAGATGGAGAGCGAATCCAGTGCCCCCGGAGAGCAGCCACAGTTCCTGGGAGTCAGGTGAGATCATCCTGACACAAAAATGTATCCACTTATTTGGCATCAATATTTCGAAAAACCATAATGTATTGTCAAGCTATTCTGACACTGTATGGGTGTTTATGGTTCTTCTCCACTGTATGCGTCAATAAAATGATATTGTTTTATTTCTAGAGAGCAGAGGTTGACAGGCATCCTGGTGTTTGTTCTGACGGGACTCTCAGTCTTCCTCGCTCCTGTTCTTCAGGTCGGTTGGAGACAGATATGCTAACAGAGATGGTTTGACTGATATTGCTTTTCCATTGGATCTGTTGGTTTTATTTCACACTTAGAGGACTCCTGACTACCTTTTCCACTGGTAGCCCTGGTGCTACTAACTTTCCTGATTGCTTGCGCCAGCACAATTTGGTCTCTCGCTCTCATTTTGGTGGAGCATTTCCACAACGGTGAATCCACCCTGCATGCTGATGAACTTGTCTTTGCATACCCTTGTTTTGCATTGATGTAAACATTGAAGGAAAGAAAAAGTAAAGTAACACTGCCTGTCCTGGGCAGGGCCCCCAAATTAGTCCAAAAGGTTGTGTATGCGACCATTTTGGTTGTAGTCTGGGGCCCTGACTTGCCGTTTAATGTTCTGCTGTTCTGTTTGTCTCAGTACATCCCCATGCCAGTCCTCTATGGAGTCTTCCTCTACATGGGAGTGGCCTCACTGAGTGGTATCCAGGTATGTTGAAGTTCACATACATGCAGTATATGCATACAGCTTTACACAGTAACTTATATTTGAGTCACAGGTGAAAGCTAAAAGATTACTTAAGGTTTTTAAAAATACAATGTGCTTAGGACTCACAAAGGGCAGGAATAATTGATTGATGCTTCGCCTTTCAAACTGTGTAGGGTTCATTAATTAAGAGATAAGATTTACCTTAATATATCCTCAAAGAGATTTCTGTGACAATAAAATGCTTCATATACAGAGTAAAAATAAATATATATATCAGCAGAACACTGTATATCAAATGCTGATTAGGTATGCATTTTAAACATTGAAATAACATTTCAACCTAACATAACATAACAACACAACACCTAATTTTCATTAGCTTCAAATACTGAAAATACAGACTTAATCCACATAGTTTACAAATCTTAACTGAATAACTTGTCACATTTCTGCACAATAAATTTACGTGCATGGGTAGTGAAATGCTTTCACTCTGTAAAGCTCACTACTGAAGAGTATCATCTGATATTTGAAGAATCTAAGAAGAAACGTCACCTGACAACATGTTCTGATCTGTTCCAGTTCTGGGAGCGAATCAAGCTCTATCTGATGCCATCCAAACACCAGCCAGACTTCTCCTTCCTGCGTCATGTCCCCCTCAGACGTGTCCATCTGTTCACCCTTGTCCAGATTGTCTGTCTGGCTGTCCTCTGGATCCTCAAGTCCACATTCCTGGCTATCATCTTCCCAGTAATGGTGAGTGTGTTACTGTGTGTCTTGGATACACAGTGTGTTTTTTTTGTGGTATTTATCAAGGTATTAGACAGTAGCATGTTCTTTCGGTAACAGGGGTAAGAATAGAGGCTAAAAAGGTTCAGTGGTCAGCTATAAGATAAAACTTCAGAAACGTCATTGAAGATGAGGAAACATGACACCTGACAGTCGAGCAATACGCCCTGGTCTCTTGTGTAATGTGACCAAAAACTGTACCAAGACATAGATGTTGTATCAGTAACATCACCTACAACGGCAGGAAGCAGGAACTACAGAAACAGAACAGTTCAGGGAGAAAAATCTGGCAGTCTGTTACTTGATCCCGACTTTTACTCTTGAGGCGGCGGTTTGTTTACACTGCTGATGAAGTAACCTGTTCATCAAGTGCAAACTGTTTTTCATGTGTGTGTAGATTCTAGGTCTGATGGTTGTAAGGAAGCTGCTGGATCTGATGTTCTCACAGCATGACTTGGCCTGGCTAGATGACATACTGCCCGACAAAGACAAGAAGAAGAAGGAGGATGACAAGAAAAAGAAGAAAGAGAAAAAGGTGGCAGAGCCGGAGAGCGACGAGGAGGTGAGAATCTCTTTTCTTGGTATTCACTGTGTATTTAAATGTGTCACTCCATCTGTTGTGGGTGTGTCTTCCTGGGTTTGTTTTCTCTGACTAATACTGTATGTTTCTCCTCTCTGTCCCACAGTGTTGCTGAAAAGGCACTGTACAACACTTACTACAGTCTTCTTGTCTGTCCGTTCCTCCTTGTAGTTCCATCTGTTCACCTCTCCCACGTTGCTACAACATTTTACAAACTAGCCTTATCTTGTGAGATCCCTGTTTGTCCTGCATGCCAACAGCCTCCTCTATCTGTCCCTCAGCCCATCAGCTCTGCCCCCCCTCCTGTGAAGATTCACATGGAGGCAATAGAGCCCCACGCAGAGCCAGACCCCTCCCACGTTAACCCTTCTACCCAAAACCAGACCTTTGACTGTGAGTACATCAACCATTTCCTCCACCTATCATTGTATCCGTGTAATTTGTTTTTCTCATCTCTGATGCTTTGTAGTAAATGAAGTGCTGATAGAGAATTTGATAGATGTTGCTTGTGACCGTGGATGAATTTCAACTAAACCTACTTACAATGCATTGTGTACCTGAAGTTTGGTTTGTATAAGTGCGGTTGTGTCAATGTATTACCTACATTAGATGGCAGTTGGTGCACCCCCAATTTGTTAAAGCAGGCAGGAACACCTTCATTACTGTGGACGTGTTCTGAACCTCCGTTGGTTTAAGTGTGTGTTATAGTGAGACTATTGTCGCCGCTTCTTCTGGGAACTGACATTGCTCTCTTCAAAGCCACCAGGCTCCATTTGTGGGGGGGGCATATTCTAAATATAGCGTACACTTGAACTTATATTGACTTTGGTAAGGGGTTAAAAATGTTTTGCTGCAGAACTTGTCCACAGCAGTGCATTACTTAACTTCAATGCAGTTTCCTGTCTTCTCCGCCAGACTCCTAGTGTGCACTAATCACCATCTGTAGGTAACACCATGACTGTGCATCGTTTGTAAATAAACTCATCTTTGTTACAATAAACGCAACCACTGCATTTAGATGGCCACCATTTAGATAAGTCTGTGTCTATTCATGGTATATCTAAGTGCTAAAACAAAAGCAACGGAACCTGCTTGAGTTTTTTGCACATACTTCACCTATTCTTCGAAAGGCTTGTTTAGTTTTGTCTGCTGGGGAATCAGTGGAACTGAAACTCCTGTGAGGACAATGAGTCATGTGAATCAAGGTGGTAACGGGTGTTAAGCTGTCTGGTTGGGGTATCTCAGGACTGCATTGTAAAAGGCACGCTGAGGCAGAAGCTTGTCCACCCTGAAGACAGAACACCCAGGAATAAGCAGAACAATGGAGTAGTTCAATGCAGTAAGGAGCACATAGACCTGTGCATTGGATAAATGGCACAACACAGGAGAGCCAACTCTGCAGGACTCAGCAGTCGACCTACAGGTGGACACATTTTTGCCACAGAAGACCAATGGTGAGAAGTATCCATCTACGTCAAGCTGTAATGACCATCGCCACAGAGAGAAGACTGTCTAGGACACCACTTGTCAGACACTTAAGATGCAGTCTTGACATCCCTCTACAGACAGCTTAACACCCATTCACCTTGACTTATGTGACCGGAACCACAAGGCAACAGTCCACTTACGAGATTCTGATGCAAGAACTTCACATCATATCCAAAACTCAACTGATTTAGTCAACAAGGTCCAGAAAGTGAAACTTCACTGTCTCACCAAGGACATTTCATTATGGGGCCCCCCCTGGAATCGAACCGCCAACTTAGTCCAAGTACTGGACAACTCGCTGGAGTCTTAGTCAGGGATCAGCAGGTGCTCCCAGGCTGGCGGACCCCCTAGAAAGAGGATAAGACAGAAAAGGAGGCAGAAGTAAAGGGACGACAGGAAGAGGAATGGTTGAGGTGTGGTCCTGCTCCCGAACCTCAGCCAAAGATTTTATCTCCATTTAATTATGGGAATCCAAAATTGTGAATGTGAATAATATTTGATTGACTGTACAGCCCTATCATACAGACCAACACCTACCAGGACATGAAGTCAAGGTGTTTAAATAGCCCATTCAAAACAACACATGTTGAGCCAAACCCTAACCCTAACCCTAACCCTAACCCTTTCTAAGGAAAGAATAAGACTAACATTACAAATTTACCCAACAAGCTTAAGTGTTAAGGTTAGGAGCCTACAGTATAATATGTTATAAAAATTTCACTGGTTAAAATAAATATTAAGTAAATTAAATATTCATGAATAAACCTACCCAAATTTAAATATTAATGTTAAGACCCAACAATGTTATTTATCAAATAATTCACCTGACAAATTTAAATATTAATGTTAAGACCTAGCAATGTTATTTATTACATAATTCACCTAAAAAAATTAAATATTAAGATTACGACCTGTCAATATTATGATATAAATTTACCTAAATAATTTAAATATTAAAGTCAATAGCCTACAACATTAATTTTTATGTAAATGTAGCTGACTGAATTTTAAATATTAATGTTGATACAGCAGAGTGTTTGATCTTCTCCAAACTCAACAACTCAGTGCACTTCAGATCCAGCAACACTCTTAGACAAAAGCAGTTTCAGACAGAGGCTAAAACAGCCAAATCCAAGCCGAGCACTGTTATACATATACAGTCTAATGCAGCAGGGAGTGCACAGACCTATGTATGGAGGAGACTAAACCACCACCACACAGGAGAGCAGCTTCTCAGGACCGCACTCAGCAGCATCTAAAGGATAAGGGATGCTCCTTTGACGAAGGAAAATTCACATTGTGGAAAGAGAACACAGACAGTTTGAGAACCAAAGAAATTAGGTTGTTACCGTAGCAACCAGAATTATCATGACCTTGATGATTCTACGCAAACAAACTTAAAAAGCCTTTCAGTTGACAGGTGAAACGTCTTAAAGAACCAATCCATTAGTTAAATATTAAAACACGTCAGTGGTCCAGAGCAACCTCTAAAGATGAACTAGTTGAAAAAAAATGCACCAGATTCGAAATCTGTTTTCTGATGGTTCTATTTATCTCTTTGTGTGTCTTTGTTTGTGTTCATGTTGCTCTGCACTCGTGTTCACTTACCTGTGTATGCTTGCTTTGTGTTGTTTTGTACATGTCTGTGTGTTTCCTTACAGGAGATGAACCCCTACTCGACAGTCACATCCGATCAAAATGAGCTAGACCGCAGGTACTGTGTGCTGAAACTGCACGTGCCCTACAGTGATCTGATATATTCACCTGACAGGAACACTGGCTGGGACAACACTGTCACTTCTAGACAACCACACACATAGTTACGTCATAGAAACACACAGTTCTCAGCTGCTGTGTCACTTCTATCTATATGTACAGTATGTTGGATGGTGATTTTAGGCTTCAGCATTTTCAGCTGTAGAGTATATTTGGATTGCTTACATTGTTTTCACATTGCAAGCATGTACAGTAGAGCTCACATAGAAATAACTTTCATAGAAACTACTGCATACAGTGCAAGACATAAATCTTAATATTTAGTAAGTACTCAGTAAAGTACATTTGACTCTGTGGGCTCCTCGCTGCTTCTCTCTACCAGCTGCTTGCTTTTGGGCTGTTGTTCCTATAGTGCTTTGAGAAACAGGAATTATAATGCTGCCATGGATTCCATAAGTTACGCTATCGGCTACAACTTGACCGTGTTTTTTTTAGTATGTGTTTGTTTACATATTGATTATTACATTTAGCAGGTCCTGTTATCAGTTTATTCATGAATGTACAAACAGCCATCACTGTATTACTGTAATACTGAAGGAAACTTTAAAACGTGTTGATTCTCAGGCAAGTTCAGGGGCCGGTTTCACAGAGATGGTTTTTAGACTGATACATAGTGTTAAGTCAAGGCTTGATTTGTTGAATCCAGATGATTCCAAAAACTGTCTCTACAAAAATCAATCAAATAGTTCTTGTAACAAACCAATGACTCATTTTGCTTTTTTTCCAGCTGATCTAGGAAAAGGAAATGTATTTGATATAATCTAATGCAAACTAGACAGTTTCACAAAAAGAAGACAGACTTATTTCAAGTGTAAAAAATTAGCCACACTCTAGAGCTAATTAATCAATTAAATGATTAGTTACCAACTATTAAATTATTTGCCTTGATAGTTGATTATTTGGTTTAAATAATTAAAGAAAAAACAAATTAAAATTCTCTGACTGCAACCTCTTAAATGTGAACATTTTCTGGTTTATTTCCTCGTCTATGACAGTAAACAACGATTCTTTGGGTTGTGGACAAAACGAGACATTTACCATCTTGGGCTTTTGGAAACACTGATCAACATTGTTTTCCGACATTTGCAGCCTATCACCTTGATCACTGAACTAAATGATTTTTTTCATTCTTTTCTGGTTCCTTAAATGTCTGTGATAGTCCTGTCAGCGGTGGGATTCATAATGTTGACTGTTGTTGCAATTTCTTTTGTCATCTGTTCTTTTTTCTGTTTTTCCCCAAAAATATCCTTACAACTGTTAAATTCTTCCAGAATGCAAGTTTTCTTTTGGAATGATCAGTGATTTGACATTCAGCCGTATTACTTAAGGTCTTAATTTACTCAGAATTCGACAAACTACTGTTGGTTAGATCTGAGCCACAGTTGGTGTCTCTCTTTGTGAAACCAGCCCCTGGAAGTTTATAGAACTATTTTTTTCCTATGATTTCCAAACCAGACTTACAAAAGTTATTTGTGACAATATCTTTAGAAAGTGTAAGTCACACTGAATTTAATATTATATATACTTCTGACTTCAGGATCAAGATTTCTGATCAGATGGTTTTAAAGGACCTACAGGGTAACACTGGTTTATTTCTGCCATTAATATGTCCAGTGTGTCTCCATGGGTTGTGCTAACTTTGCATTCCCTATCTCCGGAACAAGTTGAACAAATATGCAGTACTTGCTGTCTGACAGCTGGCTTTCCACAACCTCTGACATGTAAACAGATTGCCAGATGTGGATGAACATGCAAGTCAGGATTGCAAAGTGAGCTGATTTCAGAGTTTGCTTTCAGTCAGACAGAAAACAAACTTTAGTTGGAAACCTGCAGGAGCCCATTCGTGCTGCACTTAAACTCTACAACAAAGGTGAAGTTTGTAAGACCCATGGAGCCACAGCATCCGTATAACTGAGGAATACACCAGGTTAAATTAACCTGAATTATCCTCTAATTACCTTTAAGAGTGGTGTCTCAAAGGCCCTGCCGGTGAGATTGCTGGGACAAACCACCATAACTGATACCTATGTGGCACCAAATATTGTAGCGATTTCCTGAAAATGTAATACAATTTCCCCTAAACTAATGAAAATGTAATATAACCGAATAATGTAATGACTTGACTGATAATGTAATAAAAGCTTCCTGACTGATACTCTAATAATAATCCAGAGTTCTACATTTTGTGTTCAACCTTATAGAAGGTGCTACCTTAACCCAAACCCTTGACCACAATTTCCAACACTGCCTCATGGAAACACCCTCAAAGCAACTTTACTGACACTTCCTTTGAAGAGGATGTGAATCAGAATTTGTAACTCCTACATACATGACACCTGACGTAAACACACATAACCTGTCAGAAATGTTTGTTCCACCTGGTTATAAAGTACCTGGTCACTCTTAATGCCTGGAACCTTTAGCCCCAGAAATTTTTTAAGTAGCCAAAAGGATCCCTTAGACCATTGGTTATCTGTTTTTCCACTTTGGTCTGAAGAACTGCAAAAATTTGGCAAATTGGTCCACTGAGGTCTAAATAAGGGAAGACTGTTTTTACAGGTCTTTTTTTGTGCCTGTCTTTACTACAAACTGCTCCACTCGTGTCAAGTAAGTGGCGGTAGAAACTATACATCAACAATGATGCCTTATAAAGGCAAGAACAGATGACACTGTAACAACAGTAAGCATGGCTGAGATTTACAGGTCCCATACTGTGGCCTTTTTCCACAAATGAATGCAGGTCTTGTGTGTCCCCACAATCGGTCTTTTAATTTTTCAGTTCAAAATGCTGCAAAGATCGTTTATTTCACCATGACTGTATAACCCCTGGTTGAAGCCTTAGTCAAAATGAGCTTTTTCCCTCAGGAAATTAGGAGCTCCAGGAAGAACACACTGAGTTGGAGATGGACCACTATTGGTCAGTCAAGTGTAAGGAAGCAACTGGGTCTAACTGTTTCTGCCTTGAAAAGATGGTCGGCCAACTAATTGTGGAGGGAGTCTGAGGAATAGAAGAAGTAATCATTTTCTAACAGCTTCTGTTTTACACTAACAAGTTTATAACAACCACAAAATACAGTGAAAATGGATTTTCACCATATGGGACCTTTAAAGGCATTAGATATGACATTCAGAACCACCAGATGTCAGAATCTGCCACGTGGCCTGCAGCTCAGTCTGACTCATTGGTATCAGCCCGCCATTGGCTGCTCCTGTCAACCAACTTTCTCCTCTTCTGCTATCAAATTGTTGCCGTTTTCCATATCCATGTTGCTACAGGAAACAACAAGGATTTGGATTGTGCAGTAACTGAGCCCTGATAGTTTTTTTTTTTCTTTGTTCTGGGAATTATCCATTTTAGTGATAGTGCCCATCTCTCCCTGCATGCAGATGTTCAATCAGGAAAAATTCCACCCGTCACTATTTTGAGGGAACATCAAAGCTCCATCCTTAACTTAGCTCGACCCATGATGACTGTGATTAGTTTAATGAAAGTATAAACAAGCCAGAGCACTTTTTCCTACAATAGCAGAATGATAGCGTAGTGCAACATATTGTACAGAGTAGACTGACTAAGTGATATATATATATATTCTTATTTTTATGTTTTTAAACGTACATTACTTGGCTACACGTCTCAAGTGAGGGACACCAATTTATTACTCTTGTGCTTTTGGTTGCATGAAAATGTATAGTTAAGGGAACTTTTGCTCAGATTTATTATGTATAACTTTAACTAGGGTTGCAACTAGCAAATATTTTCTTGACTGTATTATTGTAGTGTAGTGTAGTGACTGTAGTATTATCTGTAAAATGTCAGAAAATGGTGAAAAAATATCCATCTGAGTTCCTCAAAACCTAAGATGACCAATGCCTTGTTTTGTCCACAGCCCAAAGATATTCAGTTTACAGTCAGAAAAGAGGAAAGAAACCAGAAAATATTCACATTTTAAAAGCTGTAATCACAGAATTTAGGCTATTTTCCACTAAAATGTTACTCAAACTGATCTGTTGGTTATAAATTAAATAGTTGGCAATCATCTGTTTTGGAAAAAAAAGATCCACCATGTTGTGTAATAATATCATTAGGAAGTCTCATGACATTATTGGGTGTTTCAATCACATGAAATGACAGTGTCATTACATTTCGATGAAATTAGTCCGTTATAGCTGTCCCTCATTTCTTCCTCTGCTTCCCCCCTTTAACTCCCCCTCCTCCCCCTCACAGTTTGAAAAGCCCTGCTTTACAATTAATTTTAATTTATTTAACGCCGCTGGAAGGAGCCTCCTGCTGCTTATATCACTGCAGCTGCTAGCAATTCTAGATTGATATTTAAAACCATTTTTAACGGCTGCAGCGTGTGTAAATTCTGCATTACCAACTGGTTTGTCACTCTGACCTGCTTCTGATGATGCAAACAGCATCTGCCAGTTTCATTAGGATTATCACTGTGCACCTGACTGAAGTGTAGATTTCAGGTCGGTTATCCCTACTGTTGATTCAGAGGATAATTGTGTGAATGTTAGTTGTGAGAAGTTACATTGAGGAACATGTCTACAAGCAACTTTTTAAAAAATCCTAATCCAAGTAAGTGCCCCAAATCACTCAAACCCACTGATCAGAAGTGTTACTATCAGTCAGAGCTTCAACCTTTACATTAATTAATTAAAAGTTATTTAACAGGCTACAGCTTGTTTTTTTAGTATATGATTGTTTACATGTGTATGATGTACAAACAGCCGTCACTGTATTACTGTGATACTGAAGAAAACCTAAAACCCTGATGACTGTGAGTCAAGTGTAGGACCCGGCTTCACAGAGAAAATTTTTAAACTGTATCAGTTTTAGTTTGTTCTTTTTTGGCATGAAAAATAGTAACCAGTGGGAAAAAAGAAAATACAATTCTGTTTGTAAACATTATGTCAAAATTATGTCTTTTCAAAAATAAAATAATATTTCTTAAAACGAGCTAGAAGACAGTTTATCTGGGAGAAGAAAATAGTTTTAGATCTGGTCTAATACAAACTGCACAATTTCATAAAAGGACAGGAAGACTGACTTATTCTAAACCTGCAAAGTTGGACACCTCAGTAGAATAGAAAAGAACAATTTTTTATTTATCCCACATTGGGGGAAACTTACACGCCACAGCAGCATCCAAAAATATAGAAAGAAAAGTACAAGAATATAACAATATTTAATAATAATAGTATTTACATTGAAAAGAAAAATAGATTGTGCAAATTCGCACAGTGAATTTGATACATAAAAATGCCAATGTTTTCAGTTTGGTCAACATCAGCAAGTGATGCTGATGTACAGTCTTATAGCAGTTGGCAGGAATGACCTGCAGTAGCGCTCTTTCTTGCAGAGAGGATGTTTGAGTCTGCTGCTGAAGGAGCTACTTAAAACCCCCCACAGTGTCAGGGGTTGTCCATGATGGATGTGAGCTTTGCTAAGCTTTGCTGGGGGAAATTTACATGCCACAGCAGCATCCAAAAATATAGAAAGTACAAGAAAATAACAATAATTAAGTAAACTGCAATTGCCAGGACATGCGAAAAGTCTCTTGGCAGGTAAAACGGCCACGAACCAACCGCCAGCAGTTCAACATCCCTCGTGCAGCGCAGCTCTTTAATGCTAACGTGCCCAGCATTACACCATCTCTCATTCACATATATGGCGAGTCCCCCGCCTTTCTTCTTTCCACTCTCCCTCAAGCTCTGGTCTGCTCTGACCAGTTGAAATCCGTCCAAAGGACGGAGCGAGTCTGGAGTGAGTTGGTTCAGCCACAACTCTGTGAATAACATAAGGCTACATTCCTGATACTCCCACTGCAGCCAGGTCAGTGCTGTTAGCTGCTAGCTGCTAGCTCTTCCGGCCCGTGAGGGAGAGATTTCCCATGATGATGGACGGGACGGATGGCTTGTACCGTCCACTCTTCTCCTGAAGCTTCACTCCTGCCCTGCATTCCCTCTTCCTCCAGCTCATCGGGGATATCCAGTCTCTCCCACGATGGTGGCTTGGCCTGGCTTAGTGCGAACAGTTTCTCAATGGCTCAACGGCCCGCCAGACGCGGCCTCCAAAAACTCCCAAAAAAAGCAAACAACAGACAAACCAAAACATGCATCTGCATCTCCACTTTTGTGGCACAGCTGTGTGAAATTAAAATATTTGAAAGATAGAAGAAAAACCAAAGTAAATAGCCAAAAACACAGAAAGTAGGTAAGAGCCGCTGCAACTGACTGCCACTCTCACGGCGCCATAGCAAAAAAAAAAAAAAGTAGAACAAAAAAAAAGAAACAGTAGAGCTGGGTGAGCTAGAATGATTAGATGTCAATCTATTAACTTCATCCCCAACTGTTTTGATAATTGAGAAAGCTTTTTCAATGTGAATATTTTCTGGTTTCTTTCTTCCTCTGTGACAGTAAACTGAATATCTTTGGGTTTTGAACAAAACAAGATATTTGTCATCTTCGACTTTGAGAAACACTGATTTACAAGTTTCACAATTTTCTGATTTTTTATGGACCAAACAACGAACAGATTGACAGGGTCGCGGGGCGACTGGAATCTATCACAGCCGACTCAGGGTGAAGGCAGGAGACACCCTGGACAGGTCACCAGTTTATCACAGGGCTACAGAGAGAGACAAACAACCAAGCACACTCACATTCACACCTACGGACAATCTAGAATCACCAATTAACCTCAGCAAGATTTTGGACTGTGTGGGAGGAAGCTGGAGAGCCCAGAGAGAACCCACCCTGCACGGGGAGAACATGCAAACTCCACGCAGAAAGATCCCGGGCCGTGAATTGAAACCAGGACCTTCTAGCTGTGAGGCTGTGAGTGTTAACCACCACACTGCCATCAAAACAATCTGAATTCTTAAATTAATCATCCTTCTGTGATTGAATGCTCTGGAGTACTACTAAAGAACAGGTATTGAAAATTAAAAAAAGAACTGATGGCAGGCTGATGAAAGGAGACATTAGAAGGTATGTTTAAAAATAAACGTTTAATATTATTTAAATGTAAATATGCTGGATGTAGTACAGTGTAAAATATATTTTCAACTGATATCTTTAAACTGTTTACTGGTATTTTACAGATTTTCCCTGTTTTATTAAATTGAAGAAAATATCGAGTACAATCACAGAAAAGATTATCTTTTATGATGTTTGACCATAAAATGACACAGTTTTACTGTATTTAAATCAGAAAAATGTTATTATACAAATATATGCCACTATGTAAAATAAACATTATGTATATTAGGAATTGCAAGATGATAAATCATTTTTTTAACTGTTGATTTTTCCTGTTCTGTTAAATTAAGTACAAAAATAGTCCTAAAAGTATTTTATTCTTTCACAGTGAATTTAAAATCACAGTGTTTTACTGTATTTTATCTTATTTATAAAAATCTCATTATTTCACAGATATTTACTGTTATTTTCATCATTTTTAGTTTTGATATGACAGTATTCCACCGTTTTTAAATCTTTTTTTGTGGTCGTAACGTTGCCATATTTTAACCATGTTTTAATTGTTTAATTTTGTTGGGGTTGTTTTGTGTTGGTGGTGACACATTACCAAAGTAAGTCATCAGTTTACTCTGATTACTTTTTTGTTGAGACAAATAAGTTAATGTGTTGGTTTTGCAGTTCAGGTATGTTACCATAAAAATGTGTTTTCTTGTTCTCTCTGCTCCACTGCAGTCATCTGACAGCTCTGGTTGCTGCTCATTTTGTATCTTCACATTAATGTTGTGACCCCCCACATTTAACCCCTTGCTGGGGGTCACTGTGTCAGAACATCATTCCAAATAATCCATAAATTAAAAAAAATATGTAATCATGTTACACATTTTAAGTACATTTGGCTGAGAATACTTGTGTTCTTTTTTTCCTAAGATTGAAGTAAAACAAAGAAGCTTTAGAATACTAAACATGTTGCCTTTTAATTATCACTCCACCATTCCGTCACCACTCCTTCATCTCTCCTTCACCACTGCTTCATCACTCTGTCTTCACTCCTTCTTCACTCCTTTATCACTCCTTCACTCCGTCTTCACTCCTTCATCACTCCGTCTTCACTCCTTCTTCTATCCATCTTCGCTCCATCTTCACTCCTTCACCACATCTTCATCACTGCTTCATCACTGCTTCATCACTCCTTCACCCCTCGACAACTCTACAAACTGATGCAGAACACTGAAGCACACAGCTTCCACTTTTAACTGGATGCTTTGTGTATTTTAGAGCTTGTGTCAGTGACCTCAGTTTATTAGAAACACTGAGATAAATCTACTGCAGAACAATCTTAGAAAAAACCTGAAGTAGGTTTCCACTATACTTTACTAAAGAGAAAGATACATGGAAGGAAATATCATCTTAAAGTAATGGTTGTTTTGCTCCTTCTGGATATTTACTCACTGTGGCTCATTTTTAACTTGAACATAAAGTCTATAGAAACAGAAACACCATGACGAGAAGAAGAGAGAACTCAAACATGTCTTCTGTGACACATTTAGCTTGTCAAAAATCATAAAAAAGTTGAATTTCATATTTGGCATCAACATGTCCAACATTTTCTAACAAATGTTCACAGGTGTTACCAATCCTGGATAAAAGGTGGTTCTACATGTTATAGATATTTAACTATTTATATTTTCACACTTCTCTGCACATCATCTCTAGAAAAATACTTTGTTATTCTGAATGTGTCTTCCAACAACTTGCTCCTCTGTATGATGCTACATTTATTTTATTGATCCAGTATGTTTTGTTTTCCTCTCTTTTCTCTCTTGCCGTCTTCTCTCTGCTCTGTGGAAACACTGCCTGTAGTTCAACTGAAAACTCTCTGAATTTTAGTCACTTGATTGTTGGTCAAAGCTCAGTCAGTCATGGAGAATTATTTAGACTGATGATTTGTTTTTTTCACAGAATCTGGTGCAAACACTTTGTTTTTGGTTCGATTTTAAATGAGGCATGTAGAATAAAGCGATTTTGATCACATATCAGGATTTTAAGCTTGGGTTCTGGCTGATAAATGGTGTAGTTTGGATGATATTTAGATGAAGTTCTGATAGACTACATGATGTACTCTATGGAGGAGGATTTTCTGGAGGTCTGTTGTGTTGCACTGAGCTCGCTGTTGTAAACTGAGACAGAGAGTAACAGTGTTCCACCACCACTGTTCCTCAGCATCACTCTGCACCTGAAGATCTCCTGCCCCTCCTCGCCTGCCACCTCCCTGACCAGCCTCGCCCCTGCCGACCCTCCTCCGCCTCGCCGGCCTCCACACCAGCCACAGGTCAGCATTCGGGTGGAGTCAGACTGCGAGGAGTCCGGTTTCTACTCCTCACAGCAGCAGCAGCAGCAGCAGTCGGGCCTGTACCCTCCTCATCAAATATCTGAGCCCCACAGAGACTGCTCCAGAAGGCCACATCCTCCCTACAGTGACTCCTGCGCTGAAACCGTCCTGTGACCTGAGCCACGGTGCAGAGTGTTGCATGCTGGTTACAGCTCCTCATGCGTCGCTTCACACTCAGCCCTCCCGACACACTAACAGCTCCATCATTAATTGGATTTCTATCATGTTTTATTCAGATCCTCAGACTGTCCGAGCACTCAGCTCAGTGAACGAATCTCCTGTAGTGACACGAATAGAGAGAGACAACCGAAACGTGCTAATAATGTATGAACCCTCTGTGAACTTGTGTTAGGCCTCATCAAGAGCTTTAGTTTTTCTTCTGCATTTTAAAAGTGGTAGACAAGAGGAAGATTTGTGTGAATTCTCGATGTAAAGCCCCCAAAAATGCAATAAAATGACATTTAAAATCTGTTTGTTGATTTGCAGCTCCTTCTGCATTAATGCTTTTTACTGCTAGAGGTTATGAAATGCTTTGTGTTATTTTTTTCCTTAGATGAATCTCCATGTCTTAGAATATAACATTGAAAGTGTTGTAATAGATTGTACTGTTAATATTTGATTGAAACAGATCAATATTTGTCATCTATCATAAATTATGGTTAATATTTTCTTACATTTTTAAATAATTTGAGTATATTTTTGTCAAAAACACTGGTGAGAAACAAGGGATTATAACAGCAAGATAAAGCAGAAACTGACTGTTACCCTTAGAACAGGAACAATCAGCTAATTAATCATTTGTTATTTTTCAATGCAAGAAATCCCAGGTTAAGGATTGTCAAATATGATGTCTATAACGGAGCTACGTTAAGATTCAGACCACAAACTTCAAAATAAAAATGTAGCAGTGACAATATAAAAAATACCATGGAAAAGATTTGCTCTGGTCATTCCAGTTAACTTTAATTTGCTATTAACATTCCCAAAGATTATTCTTGTAGATTAATTGCAACAACTGGACTTGGTTGAGCTCCTTCAAGACGTCTCACCTCTCATCCAAGAGTTTCGGTGAGTCCCCCTCGTTATGTGAGTCGTTAGTACTCCCCCTGCCAGTGTCCTTTGTCCTTAAGTTGCAGCCACTCCACAAGTTCATGACTCAGCATAGAAGAGCCAGCTCGTCATTCGCTGATTCGCTCATCCACACACACATTCATACGAACTGCCAACCTTACGATTAGAGGACAACCCGCTCTGCCACCTGAGCCCACATTGTGTGATCATTACTTCAATGATGTATCCGATGGTCATTTTAATCCCTATACTGCTGGACAGTCACATCAATGACAGTGTAGTATCATTTGATTTATCTTTATTCTAAAAATTTGAATCTGCAAAATACTTACAGCTTTAAAATAAATGGAAATATTCAAGTACATAAAAGCAGTACTTGGGTAAATGTGTTTAGTTACATTCCAGCAAACACTACCGCTCTTAGTAATGTTTGGACCAAATATGAAATTTCTTATCAAGTGAGAATTAACATTTTTCATATTTTAGCAAATAAACAATCCATCAACTCATCCATTAGGCTTATAATCACTGGCTACAACCACAATCACTGCAAGATGGAAACTAAGACACACTGGGTTTAACAGTTCTTTTCACCATTTATGTTTAGCAATTTACACATTTCCATGATTTCTTTAAAGCAGGACAGGTTTGAGCAGCAGTTACTGTAGACTTTAAGCACAGATCAACTCAGGGATACTCTGATGATTCAGTGGCATGTATCAATGGGCAGCAAGGTGAGTACAGGAACCTGATGACAGCCATCACTGACTGGACTGCTCAGAACGTCCTTCTGCTGAATATCTCCAAAACCAAGGAGATGGTCGTGGATTTCCGCAGGCCTAAGTCCCTGCTGTGGCCAGTCATTATCAGAGGAGAGGACATTGAAGTGGTGCAAACCTACAAATATCTGGGTTTGCACCTTGACAACAAGCTACACTGGTCCACAAACACAGATGCCCTGTACCAGAAGGGGCAGAACCGACTGTTCTTCCTCAGAAGATAAAGATCTTCCGATGTATGCAGTGAAATGCTGCATATGTTCTACCAGTGGTGGTCAGTGTTCTTTTCCATGCTGTGGTCTGTTGAGGCAGCAGCATGACAGAGAGGAACACCAAGTGGCTGGACAGGCTGGTGAGGAAGGCTGGCTTTGTGCTTGGCATTAGTTTGGACTCACTGAGGACTGTGGCTGAGAGACGCATAAACAGCACAGTGCAGACCATCCTGAACACCGCCAGCATCCTGGCTGGACAGAGAGGCAGCTACAGTGAGCAGCTCATCTCACTGCACTGCAAGACTGAACAGTTCAGGACATCCTTTGTCCCCACAGTCACCAGGCACTAGAATATCTCAGTCAAGAGCAGTGGCTACTACATTTCAATGACTCATTCCAACCATGCAATAAACTGATCACCCTGGGCCACTAGGACTCATGCACCTACATACTCATTGGTAGTTCTATTATCTCACATTGCACCATTGTACTTTATCATACTCTATGTTTTGTATTCTATACTCTCACAACATTCTATTGTGAATACCATCAGTTTGCATGTTATTGTAAGTACTTACGTTTGCACACTTCGGTAAATACCAGCATTTTTATGGCATCTTATTGCAGTTTCTTTAACCAACACAATCTACACCTCAGTTGCATGCTCTTTTGTAAATTGTTCCTCGATCTATTGTAACATGTGTGAGCTACTGGATACATTGAGTTTCCCCAAGGGGATAAATACAGAGTCGCTCTCTCTCTGCTAACAATTTAATCATGAAAATTTGAATACTATGAAGTTAAAATATGTTCTATTGTGATGTCACTTTTTTTGGCTTTGCTTAGCATCACAATTTTTTTTTAATAGCATAAAAATCAAATTTGGGAAAACATTAGACCTCTTGCAGGCGTCTGCTCAAGTACGAAATAATCCAACGACCAGCTGACAGTGAGAAGTGATTTTATTTGCTATAACAACTATAACAGCAGGATTTCCTTGCTCGGGTTTCAACATCATAATAAAAACAAAGAATTTCAGGCCTCAACAGATCGATGTAAAAAAACAAAACAAACAAAAAAAAAAACTTAAACTTGACAGAACTTCTAGCACTTTAAATCCAATGTGTTTGTGTGTTTTCTGTTACTGAACTCAAATATCAGCAAAAGCAGCAAAAATTCAAAGGGAAGTTAATAAAATTCTGTGAAATTGAAGTTCAGGAATGCTCACACTTTATTGAAATGCTAAAAAAAAAAAAAAGGAAGTGAGTGGCACAACACTGTGAACTCTGGGTTAAATGGTAGTCACACTAGGAAAGCACAGGCTCCTTAGTTTCCTCCACGGAGACGCAGGACCAGGTGGAGGGTGGACTCTTTCTGGATGTTGTAGTCAGAGAGGGTGCGACCATCTTCCAGCTGCTTACCAGCGAAAATCAGACGCTGCTGGTC